CGAGCCGAACGACGAAGCGAAATGGTCCCGACGACCCGTGAAATGTCTTCGTCGGGACACGAGATAAAGCCGGCGTCATTCCCATGAGGGATTACATAACGCTCACAGGTCAGAACACGGCGAGCCTTCTAGCCTAGTCCGTGAATTAACCTTAAAGGAACACCGTGCAGCACCCTCGTGGGCGCACGCGATAATTTCATATCGATACTGACCGGTCACCTTCGTAGCCTCGTGCACCTGATCGCCGTTCAGATATTTTCGCGCTGTCGGTATCTCGCTCGGACGTGTCGATCTGTGCGCCGACTGCCATTTCCTTAGACTTGGACCACTCCGATGATGATGATGAAAGAAACGACGACGACGGTGACGACAGGGTGTAACGTGACAACGTGGTTTTTCTTATTTCTCTGTACTTTTCCGACTACCTCTTCGCTCTCTCGCGCGAACCTCGTTCTCTCTATCCGTTTCTTTTACTGTCCTTGCTGCGATTTATGGTCACGCGCACGCACGCCCTTTTGAATCGTTCGTCCGGGACGGAAAGCGACGACAACGTCCGACTTTTTCACAGGGTGGCAGACTACTTCAGCGCGCGCGAATCCTGCGGCTGCGGCCCGCACGTGCGTTTCGAACGATCTGCGGCAAAGTTCTGCTGCACGATGTGCGATTGGTTCGTCGCGGCGATTCGCGATTGGTCCGCCATAGGGATTCGCGATTGGTTCATCAGTGTTGCGCCTGCGGCGATACATTTTCATGAGCACAGGTAACAAAGTCACTAGAGAACGATTAATTTGAAAAACTCTACTTGAGATATATATATATATATTTTCTCAATATAGATGGAATCATTAGGCCTCTTCAGGAGAAAAGAAGAGGAAGAAAGATGAACTGGTGCAAAAGTTCAGACAAAAAGAACAAGGAATCGATTCTGTATCTTGAAACGAGGTGAAAATTACAAAAGTGAGCAAATTTACTAGAATACTGATAATTTCATTGGTCAACACCTAATAAATTTGCTCACTTTTGTCATTTTCACTTTGTTTGAAAATACAGAATCAACCCCCAGGCCTATTACTTACCGTTCGGCAGTAAACTCTTATACCTGTTTAGTCTATGGCCGGAATCCATAGTCTGATCTTAAGCCCAGTGTCCACGATGCTAGAAATCCGTCCGAGATCTCGGATGAAGAAAGAATTGACCAATCGCATTGATCATGTGACTAAATTGTTTAAATGTGATTGGTTAATTCTTTCTCTCTCCGAGATCTCGGACCAATTTCTAGCATCGTGGACACAAGGCTTTAGGCCGGAATCAGACTATACATTGAAGATTGAGATTGAAGATTGAAAAATTCAAATTTGACCAATCGAAACGAAAGGAGCTAAAATTTCTTTGTCCTTATGGTCAAATTTCAATCTTCAATCTTCAACCTCAATCTTCAATGCGTAGTCTGATTCCGGCCTTATATCGTTTTCGATTGGGGTGCACTCAGTGACTGCGTTCAGCAGAACGTTCGTTTTGCAACTGTTGGAAGTTTCCTTCGCGCTGATTGGATCATACTTTTAGATCTAGAAGAATGGTCCTATCTCAGCAGATAATCATAAAACGGTTGCAAAACTGTTGAGTCTGCTGAACGCAGCCAATATCAAGAGCGTGTTCAATTGACAGTGCCAATGTGCACTTGGCTAGTGTTTATTTGACCGCACGACACTCGCGTAGTGCGCACTCAGTGTGCACTAATGGTTCCTGCACACTGGACGCGGAAACGTTTGCCGCGCGGCAAAATGTGACTGCTTTACGCTAGTTCTACATTTCCTCACTACGAGCGCTCGGGAAATCTTTGCGTCGCCAATTAGTATCCGTATCAAGTTCACAATGTAAACTAGGCAATTGGCTAGTCTGGTTTGTTCGACTACGGCCATGAAAGTGAAAACAACCGAGAAGATAAACGCGATGTCTCACCAGTGTGTTATAGGCCATATGCGCATTAGTGGCTGCGTTCAGCAGAACGGTTGTTTTGCAACTGTTGGAAGTTTCCTTCGCGCTAATTGGATCATACTTTTAGATCTAGAAGAATGATCCTATCTCAGCAGACAATCATAAAACGGTTGCAAAACTGTTGAGTCTGCTGAACGCAGCCAGTGCTTCCAATCGAATTCGCCATAAGTTTCTACATCCCTTGATCCCTGGCGTTTTTAACCTAACGGTGCGCGCGGTGCGAGATATTTGTTAGCAGTATTTGCTCATGTGAAAATAAAGACTGTTGCGTTTCCAGGAATATCGGCGCGGCACGAGGAAAAATTTCTAAACGATTTAAAAGAATTGCCCGACAAGACTGCGAGTGAGGTTAGACGGCGCAAGGATGTCAGCGGAAGAACAGCCGGAGTTTCGACTGGGACCGGATCCTAATGTCACTTATCCTATCCGCGTTCAATATTGCGGAAACTGTTCGCTACCTATCGAGGTAAATCGTTACTTTTAATACTGATGTGAAAAATGCGTGCTTGATTACGATAATGAAGCAATCATAATTAGCAATCAAAATATATATATTATATATTTATAATTGAGAATTAATTATACAGCATATTTTATCTTAGAAAAAATTAATAAATGTTTCAATTCAAGTTAATTCCTCATCCCTTTCAATGAGACAATGTAACTTTCACAGAAAAAAAAGATTGATTGTCAAAGAGATTTTTATGAGATGCATTGTTACGAAAATCATTCTGTTTCTGTTCAATATTCAATAAGAAAGAAAAAAAAGAATAATTCTTGTGTCAATATACTTGTATCTATTATGGAAAAGCTACTGAAAGTTTGAATTTGGTAAAAATTTGATGATTATTGACTTACAGTACTGCGAATATTATCCGGAGTATGACAAATGCAAGCAATGGCTAGAAAGGAATCTGCCTACTGAATTTGAGAAGATAAAATTAGGTAATTATGGAGAGAATTGAATATCAACAGTTCGAGATTCTTACTGAAGGATTATCTTTTAATCAGCTACAGAGGATGGCTCTACTGAAGTCAGCACAGGAGAGGATGAGAAGAAGCGACAGAAGCGAGGTGGTAAAGGTATGCTGAAAACCAAGAAGAAAGAGGATATACCACGATTGGTAACTATCTCCAGAGCACCCAGAGGAAAGAAGAAATCTGTCACAGTTGTAACTGGCCTTAGCACTTTTGGTAATACATCAAAACAACGATCTAAAATTTAGATTCTAAATGAATTGTGAAACAAATAAAAGTTCTAATTTTGTATAATTTATTTTTTGCAGACATTGATTTGAAGGTAGCTGCAAAATTTTTTGGTAGTAAGTTTGCTTGTGGATCCAGCGTGACTGGGGACGACGAAATTGTTATACAGGGAGACGTCAAGGATGATCTGTTCGAGGTGATACCTGAAAAATGGCCACAAGTAAGTTATGGTGAAAAAAAGGAAGAAAATAAGCATATCGAATGCAAAATTTTTAATGGAAAATCCTGCTTTTTTTCAGATTGATGAAGACTCTATAGATGATCTTGGGGATCAAAAGAGATAATAAGGCTATCCATTATTACACACGCACAATAATTTAATTATACACTATTTCCAGTCATGTTTATTATATAAATAAAATGTACATACACAAAATATATTTAAACAAGTTATTTTTTAAGGTCTAAGATTAGGTTTCTTGTTCTGTGTCTTCCTCATCTTCTTGCACTTTCGCGACGATTTGAAGCACAGTTTCCACCTCTTCCTCCGATAGTCGTTCCTCGCTCTCTTCCACCATCTGTACGTAGTAATTTTTTCAGAATAGATCTATCATCGATTGAGAAACGTCGAAAGATTCGAATCTCTCTACTTCTTAATCAAGTAAAACAGACTGATCCAAGATTTGTAATTCTGGGAATTGTATTCAACTTAATGTGTATCAACATTGGAATGTATTATTTTCTTTTTTCTATTTCCATTAAGGATAAGCCTAAAATTACAAATCTTGGACAGCATTGAATTAGGATATTTATAGAATAGAAACCATACCAATTGAATCTCGAGAGGTGTAGTAGGATAAAGATTGAGAAGAGTGAGCTTCTCGCTCTTGCTCAATTTGATAGCTTCCATGGCTCTCAGAAACTCTTGAATTTTTTTTGGATTCTGCTTATTGCATGGCATGTATTCTAGATACTTGAGCGTCTGATAAGTGATGGTTGCAAGCTGATTCATCTTCTGCTTCGTATAAGAACACTTTGTATTTTGCAAGATATTTAGAACCTCATAATTACTCAAAAGGGTGTTCCAATTTCCTTTTATGCTGAAAAACCAATGATTGTGAGATATAACAATTCTTGCGAGAAGCAAAGAGATCTAATTGGTCTGATAATAACTTACACTTTCATGTTGTCTTCTTAAATTAATAGAGATTTTATAATAATGTGATCAAGTGATTGCAAATCAATACAATTTTTTCTTATGTTCTTCAATTGAAGAAGTCAATGATATTTGAATCTTGAGGTCAAAACATTTAATAATTAATATCGTTTTTTTAAATACTCAAAGTACACTGATCTTTTTTTTACTTACAGAGATCTGATTACTTTTTATTAGTACGCATTGAAATAGAAAGGAACTCTTTTTTTGAATGTGCAATTTTTGCAATGTTTCTCACACTCCAAAGAATGAAAAAAGAATCAAGAAGAATAGAAGTATACCATATTAAGAAACGACCCTCACATGGTATAGGTTATGTTCGATTGGAATCAGGCCGGAATCAGACTAGGCATTAAGGGTGAAATCACACGGTGCGGAAAAAGACTGCGGAATAGAGAATGCGTCATTGAAGCAACCAATACCGGCCTAAAGTATCGCAATCTCGCATTCATTTTGACGCAAACGCCATTTCAAATTTATGCATTTGTATATACGTACTTTATTTGTGAAAATGAAGCCGTCATGTAAATCAATGTTTTTGAATTGTAATTATTAAAGTTTATTTATGACCAAAAAGAATATGTACAAATGCTTAATTTATGTGTTCTTTAATTTACGGATTTATTTGCTGTAGTTTAGTGCATGAAAGTGCACGAAGGGACATGTAAGTATATTTTAAAAGATGAACCACCAATCACCATGCTTGAAATCGTGTATTATGTGCATTTCGGCCATTTTGACGCAACATTTCCTGAAATCAATTGCTGTATTTGAAGAAATCTACCTTTACTGATTTGCAAGCCTTCTATTCTTCTTTTATTCTTTGCTCACACTCCTACATGTTCTCGCAGTATATTTAATAGCGTTTTCGACTCGTCCGGGTTTGCACCAACCTGGATGGGATTAATAGCATTTTGTGCTCTCCTATTGATAGAGCGTGTAACGTCAACTAATAGGAAAGATTAATCCAACCCAGGTTGGTGCAAACCCGATCGGGCCGAAAACGCTACAAATATAAACCTGTTCTTTTTGGCTAAACTTTCGTACTCTAGTTCATCTTTCTTCTTTTTCTTTCTTTCTGAAGAGAAAAGGAAGAAAGATGAACTAGTGCAAAAGTTCACCTAAAAAGAACAGTTTTTATGTTTACATTTGCACCTGTTCCACTCGAGTGCAGTGACTCGTTCTTCGTTGATCTCTCCACAATTCCACATCTTTTTTCTTTTTCTCTCTAAGGACCAATTGTATGTATGCACTACATCCATGAGCATAAATCTGTTTTAAAACGAGATAAATATATATTCGGGTATTAAGCCTTATGTCCACGATGCTAGAAATTGGTCTGAGATCTCGGAGAGAGAAAGAATTAACCAATCACATTTAAATAATTTAGTCACATGATCAATGCGATTGGTCAATTCTTTCTTCATCCGAGATCTCGGACGGATTTCTAGCATCGTGGATACTGGGCTTTAGGCCAATATTACATGCGTCCGTTTTTGTCGTACGAGAAATTTTTCAAGCGTATTAATTGGCTGCAAAACAGAAAGGATCTCGGACCTCTTTGTCCTATAGCCAATCAACAGGCTTGAAAAATTTGTCGCACGACAAAAAACGGACGCACGTAATATTGGCCTTAGAGAAAGAAAAAGCGAAGATTCTGGGTTTAAAAAATACAAACAGCACGAACAGATCTCATATCAGAATATAAAAAGCGAGATAAAAAGTGTGACTACGATCATAAAAAGAGGAGGCAGGAGCCACTAACCAATAAGAAAAGATCTTAAAAAGAAGATTGAGAAATTCGTATTTGCACGTAACTGTGCCAGATATTTAAAAAAAAAAAAAAAATACGTTGCACGCATTTGTTTTTATAACAAGTACATGAAAACAATAGGAAAAAATAGAAAAAAAAATTGTGACCCCGACGTGATTTGAACACGCAACCTTCTGATCTGGAGTCAGACGCGCTACCGTTGCGCCACGGAGTCATGTGGTAGTGACACTCGAATTGCGCTCACTTCAGGCCACTGAACTCAATAACGTAGCCTAGATGCTCACTGCGCTTGCGCAGGCGCTTTCTCCATAATTTTCACCCTATTTCTCTCTTTCTTTAATCGGATGGATTTTTCATTTTTTTTCTCCTTTGTTTTTCCGTAAAACGTCAAAGGCGTGCTTATCTTCGATCGAAGTGAAGAAACAGAAGAAAAAGTTTCAGATAATTCCAGAATCGCACGGCGGATCGTGCCAAACGAGCGAATCCATTTTGCCGCCATTTTGCTCGCACAACTCGCGTCAAAGCACGTCAGAGGAGACGATTTCGCGGACGATTTCGCGTCTCGCGAAGTAATTCAAAGACGCGCGATTTCGCGGCGACCTGGGGAGTCGTCTGCATCGTATGAGTCGGGTGAGTTTCGCGCACGATCGAGTATTATCGCACCAGCTCGAGTTCATCGTTCGGACGATTCCGTTGGTCGAGCGGGATTTTGAATTCAGGACGCCTCTTCGGCGTGATGCGATGGCGGATGCTGGAAATATAGGAATCTGATAGTGATCTAGATCTGTCGTTCACCTGGCTCGATCGCAATATTTGGCGCGGAAACGTCGAGCACAGCGGGAAACGTAATTGGAGTGATTTTGTAGTATTCTGGAGAAAGTGAGGTTAGAGGTTCGCCAGGATAGGATTCTGTAATTCTTTCGGCTAACATCGCGCGAGTGCTAGCTCGCGTTTTAACAGTGCCGCAGCATGAGAGGGTAATTCATTTGATATCGTGACCTGGTGAACGAACTTATATTGACAATTCGAGCGGCAGATCGACAATGTTGTCGACAGACTAACCTCGAAACGCAGCGCGAGGTTACGACGCAGGCTGGAGAATTGTAGATAGAAGAAACCGTCTGGATGGCCAACGACTCCCCGGCGAAGAGGCACACCTCCGGTGAGGTCGACATGGAGGTCGACGAGCAGAACAAGGAGTACGACACGGATGAGGAGGGTGGCCTGAGGGTAGACGACGAGATATACATCCCACCGCCTTTGAAAAACTTTAACGAGATTGATGATACTGGATCCAGGCTCATGATCGCCAAGATCGTCAACGAGAACTTCAAGAGCTACGCTGGCATGCATATAATTGGTCCCTTTCAAAAGGTAAACACCGGTGTGTGTATCCAATTCTTATACTTGGTTCCATAAATATAAAAACTACTTTAATCTTATAACTCTAATTAATTAGAGTTAGAGAAAGATAAGTAGTAAGTTAAATTCTTAGAATTGGAAAAATGTAAGTTAAACCGAAATTATGTTAATCTGTCATTTGTAGAACCAGGTCTTAATAATGAATTCAATTGCACTCATATTGCATTGGATTAGTACACATTAAAAACTGCTTTATGTAAATTATCTAAATACAGTGATACAATAACTTTGCCAATAAAATTTGTATATATTCTGTTAAATAATATGACAATATCATATAAATATTTAATCATTTAAAATTTATGTTATACAATAGCTATGTGATTAAGGTCCAATTGCACCATTGTTACTTTGATTTTAAGCAAGGCTTAAAACTCTGTTTCTATTTCTTTTGCTTTCAAACAAGACCGAGAGAGTTTTAAATCTTGCTTAAAGTCAAAGCAATATTGGGGCAATTCGGCCTTATGGGTTATCTCCATTACTAGATCCATTACTAGAATGCCAATGTTTTGTAAACATTGCAGTTTATTTCATCATATGCTTTTACGGCTGTGTTCCAAAATTTACTGTCAATGCTAAAAATGTATAATACACGTAACGTAAACTATAGATTTTTAGCACTGGCATATTGAATTTTGGAACACGACCTATATTTAACTTGGCCAATTTTATGTACAGCAGCCTTTAGCATGCACTAATTTAATATAATGCAAGTGGACTGAATTTGTTATAAGTATTATCAGAGCTGTTTATCAAAGCTGTGTACACTTTTAGACCTTGAAGCTAAATAGATAGCTAAATAGATGTTTGATATTTGGGACAAGTGAGGAAGTTTTATTCTTGCAGTCTAGTGCAAGAATAAACAACAGACTTAAAGTTTCTTTCCTTCAGAGTTTCTCGGCAATTGTGGGTCCCAATGGCAGTGGCAAGAGCAATGTAATAGACTCTATGTTGTTTGTGTTCGGCTATCGTGCTAGCAAGATTAGATCGAAGAAGATCTCTGTCTTGATACACAATTCCAGCGAGCATCCGAATGTGAACAGTTGCACCGTTTCCATACATTTCCAAAGAATTATCGATAAGGTAATGATATCAATGACATAGTTTAATGTATAAGTACAAGTGTGACAATTCCATTTCTGCTAGTAATTAATAAGAATACTAAGCTAATTAATTTTAAGCCTGGTGAAGACTATGCTGTTGTTCCGGACAGCAAATTTGTCATATCTAGAACAGCATTCAAGGATAGTTCATCATATTATGAGCTTAATAAGAAGAAAGTACAATTTAAAGAGATTGCCAAACTCTTGAGGTATCATGGAGTTGATTTGGATCACAATCGTTTTTTGATATTACAGGTAGAATCATGGAATGTTTTATTATTGATAGAATCTAGAAATAGATTTAATTCTAAAAGATTTGAAAAAATTATATATAAACACATGTAATCTATTTGATCTTATTTTCGTATCATTTTTTGAATAATTTTTTTGATAAATCAAACTTTATGTAGTTAATTTTTCTCTGAGTCAATATAACTTTATATATATATATATATATTTGTTGACTATTTCTTAAACACATTTAATATTTTGAATTTTTCTAGTGTTAATATTCTTTTTTTGAAAGAATACCAAAATATTTACAAAAACTTAGTTTATTTCAAAAGTTAATACATATTAAATTATACATTTAAAATCAATTCATTATATAGGGTCTCACAACTACCACATTTTCTGTTAAGAATGTATTCTTGAAGTAATTTTGAGACGAAAATTCTAATACAAAAATGTCGAGGCTACAACAGTTTTTAAATTATAATTGGTTAAAAATAGTGTGTAATTCGAAAACTATTA